TGCCTCCGAGAAGCGCCAAAACACTCCCGTTTGTTTCTTCGGGCCTCGAGACTCCTAAGCAAGAAAACAATTTGGCAAAGACATTCATAAGTTTTCCCGGCATGGAACTCGGGAATAATTCACCTCCTCTCAAAGAGAAGGAAGTTTGCAACGGTCCTTCCCATAGGGAATAAGTTGCTACATTCGACATCTCCAACCATACATTGATCATAGTTCTCACTATAAACCAACCGAGANAACTCTCTAAGAGTTTGGTTCTGGGAGATGGATTTGAGTTGGGAAATGGGTTTGGGCTAAGAAGCCCCCTTGTCCTATGTTGCACAGCCCAATAAACCTCCTTACCTAATGCGTAGAAAAACAAAGACGCTACGGTGGATTCAGGAGGANGAGACAGCCTTATCCGATAGNTGGACCGGAGGGGTGGATGAACGATTGTGATACACCGGAGACTCGCCCAATCAGGTATGAGCCCAATGCCTAATATACGAATAAACTCAGGAAACATTCCAGAATGACACATGCCGAAGATCGAGCTTTGACCCATCACGGAGACGGATAAGCTCGGAATAGACCCACGCGGCGACTTGATGCACGACGATTGTTGAATAGAAGGCAAGATGGCAACTCCACGCTCGATATGGAAAGCCTTGAAACATTGACCATTTGGTTTAACGAGCTGGGCAATGGCCTGCCCAGAATTGATTCAGAAACTTCCAACTTCAATCTCCCATTAAGATTAGTGACCATAGCGGTAGAGATCAGATAACGAGCATCTCTTGTTGTAGAAGCTTTCTGTAGCCTTAACTTTGACGGAGTTATATGTTGTGGAGTTGATGAGCTTTTTCCCCAGAGAACATTTAAAAAAACAGAACATGGTACCTTAAAACATTTGGGCCAGGCCCACCTATCAGTTTGAATGTTCGAAGGCCCATCTCTTTCAAACAGCCCATCAACTTCGAATTCAGCTTCCGAGATCTCACCGTCGCCTTTATCGATTTCGCTTTCCGGTACAGGGACACAGATCGGACCCCACAGAAGGTCATCTACACCGGAGAAAATCAAACGGAAGGAGGACGGTGACCTCGCGTTGTGGCAGTAACATCTCGACGAAGGAAGCCGTATTCCAACTGCCGCCGGTTGAGGTGGGAGGATCCGATGATAAGCACCAGAGATTCGCTCGTTTCGCGGCGGTGGATCCGGCAGACCTGGAGGCTCCGGCGGATCCTGAGACTCCCGCTGCTCCGGCGTTCCTGGCGGCTCCCGATGTGGCCTTAGGCTTTGAAGAGATTTCGCCGGCCCCAAAGATAACCACCGTAAATACGGACGATAAGCCTCATCCCTCTCCATGGAGGACGTCGGAGACTGAGTAAAGTACCAAGGCCTATCGTACCCGGAGAAACTCGCCAACGACCAAGGTTGCCGGTGGATTGCGGAGTTCGTTCTTCGGATCAGCTGCAGCTCCGGCGGAGAGCTTCGGATGTGACGATGAAGGAGCATATGCTGCGGAGGGCTTCGGGAGGTTAGAGCAGAGCATATCACGGTCTCGCCGGAAGCCATGGTGATCGAAGAAGACTGAAACATATTACCAAGGCAAAAAGCCCGAAATTTGAGAAGGTGAGTAAACGTTTCTCGGATCCTTTGATGAATCCGAGAATAGAATGAGCAAAGGCTACAATCTAGGAGGAGCGTGATCGCCGTTAACGTTTTCGCCGGCGGTTCCTCGACTTCCGTGCCTGGGAGCGTCTACATTAGGGCGAACTGATGTATTCTGCTTCCCGTGTTTGCGTTTAGTGTTTATAATTGCATTTTGTAATATATATGTTATATATAACTCAAAAATATAATTTTCATTTCTTTGTTAAAGTTTTTTCATTAAATATAATTTTCATGTAAATAAAACACATGAATTGCATTTTGTAACAAGCAAGACCTTGTCTTATGTTCCTATTAATTTTTACATGTTCATTGCAGGGTAAAACTTGTGTTTTAGACAAATTCTCTTTATTTTTTTTATTTTTTTTGGCAGCTTGTTCGGATTCATCGTGTTGCACATGACTTTGTATGCTGCAAATACATACTTTTGGAGGCGGTATCGAGTAAATTATTCCTTCATATTTGGATTCAAACTAGGAACTGAACTTGGCTACAAACAAATTCTATTTGTGGGATTCAGCATTGGCGCCCTTGCACTTCTCTCTGTTCTTGCCAACCTTGACATGGAGACAGATCCCAAAACCAAAGATTACCAAGCATTAACCGAACTTCTTCCTCTTTTCCTCCTCATTGTAAGTCTATAAATCCAAAAATGAGCTTTTGAAATTGAACACATCAAATATAATGAAATCATAACTTTATGATGTTAATTAGGCTATGTTCATAGTTCTAATCCTACCATTCAACATCTTCTACCGATCAAGTTGCTTCTTCTTCCTCACTCGCCTGTTTCACATTTTTTCTGCTCCTTTTCACAAGGTAAACCATTATAACTCAAACAGAATATATCATCAATAAAAAGTAAGATAAAATTACAAACATATTACCATTGCTTTCTTCATGCAGGTGACGTTACCCGATTTCTTCTTGGCAGATCAATTGTGTAGCCAAGCGCAAACTCTTCGAAGCATTGAGTTCTACATTTGCTATTACGGTTGGGGAGACTTCAAACAAAGAAAAAACACTTGTAAAGAGTCACAAGTCTTCAACGCTTTCTTATTCATTGTTGCTGCCTTCCCATTCGTTTCTCGCTTCCTTCAGGTACAAAAATTGATTGTCATCTACCAATTCAATAATATTTCTTTTGTTATTACAATAAAAAAAAAAATCTGACACTTCATATTCTTGCAGTGTATGAGGCGAGTGTTTGAAGAGAGAAACATAGAACAAGGGTATAGGTTTCAAATACTTTTTAATAGTAATTGCGGTTTGCTTAGGGATGGCTTATGAAGTTGATCGCGAAAAAGATCGTCAAATTATTTGGAGATTGTTAGGCGGTATTACTTCGGCTATGGCTGTGGTTTTCAGTACATACTGGGACTTGGTCTATGACTGGGGACTTCTGAACCGAACATCCAAGAATCCGTGGCTACGCGATAATCTCCTCGTCCCATGCAAGGAAGTTTACTTCATTGCAATAGTGAGAGCGTTAAAACATTATTTTTAAGACCACAAGTCCCAAACATCCCTAAGTATTAATTAAATTAACGTTTTCAAAAGAAACAAACTGATTCTTAAACTAAATGCAGATCTTGAACGTGGTGCTGAGATTTGCATGGATGCAGACGGTTCTAGATTTCAAATTCGAGTCTATGCACACACAAACTGTGATCGCCCTCGTCGCAAGCCTTGAGATCATTCGTCGTGGAATATGGAATTTCTTCAGGTAATTTACTCTGTTTTCTTAACTTTATTGTATATCGAATTTTATATTATTTTCATTCGCGTTGAATAAAACTATGTTGGTTTGGTTTTGGTACGTAAAAAAAAAAAAAACAGGTTAGAGAACGAACATTTAAACAATGTTGGAAAGTACAGAGCTTTCAAGTCAATTTCATTACCATTCAACTACGACGAGGACAAATAACTACTTGGTTGTCGAAGACATTCTTACTTGTCCTGAATTGGTGGTACGTAATTTTTGC